TAGCTTATTCAAGAATTTCAAGAAAATATAATTTTTAAAGTTATCAATTATATTTTTACTTATTATTTAAAAATTAATTAATCATAGTGTTTTATTTGCAAAACATTTATATGAAATAATAAATTATTAATTATATTATCGATATTAATATATTGTTAATATACATTATTGAATGTACATTATCAAATATATATTTATATTTTTAATAATAAGTTTCATTTAAAAATGATAATAAATATAAATGTTGCATTTTTTAATTTTTATGAAATTTTTAATTTTTTATTAGCATTGTAGATCTTGAACAATTATAAACACAAGTTTTTTTTAGTAAATGAATTTCATTGAATATAATCTATATACATATGATAAAAATTTTAAAATCTATTTTAAGTTCATTTGTACATCTTGTTTATATTGATAACAATTTATTCCTTCATGAAAATTGCATATAATGAAAACTATTTGCATATAATGCAAATTTATAATTATATTTAATCTGCTTGAGTGTAAATTACGGTGTACTTTCTATGTACAGTAGAAATCCGTTAAATCTATCAGCGGGCAGTCGGTTCATATGATCAGATCAATAAAAATTTTATTCTCATCATTTATAATTGTTCACATAGGAACTCATTCACATAAGAGAATTCTATTAAATATTTATTCTTAAATACATAATAATGTTTAATGTTTAATGTTTATCTACATTTATATAAGTGGAACGATACTCAATGATAATTCATATAATAAAGGTAAAGTTTAATAAAAATACAAAAATTTCAATCACATAAACGGAATTCTACTGTAATAATCTGATAACATTAATGAGTATTATAAAAAAACATATCTATTTGTTATTAATGAATTACTGTGATACATACAAATATGTATATAATAAATCTATTCTATAACAATCTCAAAAATTCTTTTTTATATTTTTTCATTATAAAGTGCAAAATAATCTTCTGAATAAATTCAAAATAATTTCATGAAAATTTAATACTGATTCACATATTATGACCCTGATTTCAAGATTAAAATAATATAAAAATTTTTATATATTATTATTTGTAGTCCTCAAGGAACTTAAGATGGAACTGTTTCAGACATTCAAGCATTGTTTTTATTTTTTCCTTTTGTGGCAAAATTGTTGTCCTAAAATGATAGGTTCCAGGTTGTTGTCCAAAACCAGAACCTGGTATTACACATATTCCAGTAGATTCTAATAGTTTGAAAGCATAAAAGACATCAGGCTGTTGGCCTTCCCTTTCTGCTACTTCTATAGCTTTTTTTGGTAGATCAATTCGTGGAAATACATACATTGCACCCATAGCTGGATTAACCTATAAAAAATTAAAACTTTGACATTTTCATAAAAATTTCAAAATTTTCTAAATAAAAAAATTAGAAGTTTTATTTCTAAAATAAAATAGTTATTTTTAAAAATACCTTAAAACCTGGAATGGTATTTAATGTATCGACTACTAATTTCGATCGCTCTGCTAAAGAATATAAAGTTTGTTCTTTTTCTTTTTGAAATAATTCATAGGATGGTTCATTTGATTTTGGTGGATTTACGACAACGTCCATCACTACTTGACCAAGAACAGTCGGACACAACATCGCTGAAATCGACTTTAATAATATTGCCATTACTTTGGGATCCATATTGATAATTTCCCCATAGCCGCCGCGAATTCCACATTCTCCCATATAACCTGATCCATAATAAACATAAACATATATTAATATAAATATATATATTCATTTTTGTAAAGTTAATTTCTTTGCGATAATTATTTTACATAGATTTAAATATTAGTAATTAAAAAGTACACTGATAAATATTTTATAGTAGGAAAGTAATATTATATAGGAAAGTAATTATTAAAATAGAAAATAAATAATTTTACCTTTAGAAATAGACATAAAAGAAGCCAGTTCCATTTTACAATAAGGTTCTCCCATCTCCGTCATTACTTTCTTAAATGAATGGAAAGCACTATCTTTATCATAAACATTATCTTGATAAACCTCGTCAGCCAACAAGAACAAATGATTTTTATACGCAAACCGAATAATATCCTCGATATTGGTACGTGTAAGAACTTGTCCGGTTGGGTTACCAGGATTTATTACGACTAGTACACGAGGATTACACATTCTTCTTGATTCATTTAATGCTCTATCCAATTCAGAAATATCTAACGCCCATTTATTTTCTTCATTTAAATAATAACCAATTTGAGCCAAACCAAATTCAGCTAGAGTGGCAGAATATAAAGGATACTGTGGAATTGGAATCATCACACCGGATGGTTTACCATCTATTTTCTCATTGAATAGTTTCAGAAAGGACTGTAACATAAATAAAATGTAAATGATTTTTTAGTAATTTAGTTATAAGTTATAATAACGTTAATAATTTTATGATTATAGATAGTTTTTCATTAATAGAAAATAGGAAATAATTTTAATTATACTCAATAAAAATGTCTTCGATTTTAATAACTGATAATAGTATAAAAAGTGTTTTAAAATTATGAGTTCACTAATAAAACAAATAAAATTTTCATTTATAAAAGATTAAAACTAAAATGTTTAATAAATTATTCATCGACAAATTTAACTATGTTTATTAAAAACATTATTACTGAAAAAACAAAAAATGTACATATATATTAAAAAAAAATATCTCAAATGATTATACTCTATTACTTAAAAATATCCGTTCAATAAACTCATAATTTTGAAACACATTATAACAATATAATAACAATAACGTGCACACTTTAATTCCATCCGAGGCGCCATTCGAGAGGATGATATTATGATAATCAGATGGAATTCCATCGCGATCTTGAATATACTGGGCAATATGTTTCCGGATGATCTCAATTCCTGCCGATTCCGAATACGAACCAATGCTGCCTCCTTTACAATGATATAAGATAGTCTTGGCTCGATCCTTCACGTCTTCAGGATAGTTAGGATCACTGAGAAGATTCGGCGATACTGTCAGGGTCAGTACTTGCCTCAAGAAAGTGATAGGCTGTTGGCCCATAGCATGTGCATCTCCCACATTTGCCTTTATCACCTCCTTGAATGGTTTCTTGACTCCCTAAAACAAAAAAATATATTTTCAATGAACAATTTTCTTAAATTTGATTTATTATACTTATTACAATTTAATTATCCAATATAAATTATATTCTAACATTTTGGTCAACATTGCAATTAAATTTTAAAAGAATAAAATAATCCATTGAATTAAATTTGTTTATCAGTTACATATATGTACTTAGATTATATTTATATTAAATCACATGATTTAGTGATTTTTTTGAACATTTTATTTATTTTATCTATATATTGTTTAATATATATTTTTAAATAATTTAATTTGATTGAGTTGAAAACATAAGCGAAACGTTTCGATGGTAAATGATTAGCATATTTGTAAATGTTACGCAACAGCATGATTCATAATATATATATATATACATATAACACAGAATAATATATACTTAAGTGAAGTAAATATGAAAAAATTACATTTATTAAGATTTAAAAGAGATTTTGATAACACTTGAATCGGAATTTAAATCAAAACATTAATAATCAATTTATTATTGCAAGGGATTATTTTTTTGATTAAAAATTATTTTTTTAAAAAATATAATATAAAAATAATAATTAAATAAAATTTTTTAAAAAACAACATAATATAAT